GTTATTTTAGGCGACATAACAGGCATTGCTGAGGATAACATAAAAGACTCCTGACCTGATGATAAGTGCGCAGCTTCATGAAGAGAGGTTATCTTGGGTAAACCTAGTTTCTCCATCAAGGCCCAAAGCAAGTCTGTTGCTATAAATAACAGAAGGATCATTCCTAATAGGGCAGAGCTTGAAGAGAGAGCTTCAAGAGAGAGATTGGAGAGTGTGATTTGTGAGTGAAGAGGTTTGCTCTTCACGTGTGTCTAGGAGTCTTAGGATTCCTTGTGTGCCAAGCAATTGTATGTTGTATAATTGCTTTGGTTATTGTGTATGAACAAGTGTGTTCATTGTGTCACTGGAAGCTGTTAAGCAAGAGTGTGTATCACTTGATCAAAGTTGTGAAGTAAGATCAAGGTGTGTTTGAAGTGAGTCTTCATATCTGTTTTGTAATTATGTATTGATATCATTGCGGTGATTGAGGGGGAGTGAGTGGGTATACTCAGGTCTAGTGGTCTCTAGGATGAAGTGTCATTGGGTAGGTCTTAAGTGAAGAGTGCAAACTAGGATTGTTTGACTCTGAATTAATTCTACTGATAGTGAATTTCCTCCCTGGCTTGGTAGCCCCCAGATGTAAGTGTGATTGATACTGAACTGGGTGAAAAATTACTTGTATTATTTACTGCTTTCCATTCACAGCTTATTATTAAGTGCAGTAGTCTATGTTATAGTGGATGTCATAACATCCGTGATAACATCCATCGTGTGCTTGCCAGAATTTCAAGAAGGGATGGTGGTCATTCCTTGATCAAAGATGTGTTATACATTCCAGGAATTAAGTGTAATCTCTTAAGCATTGGTTCATTGCTTGAGAAGAATTACATGATTCGCATGGAAAACAAGATTTTGTGCGTTTTGGACCAAAACAGTGTTTTAGTCCTTAAAGCTCTTATGGCTGGAAATAGAACTTTCAAGATAGAGTTGAGAGTGGTGGAGTATAGGTGTCTTGCTACAGCGGCAAGTCGAGAAGAGTGGTTAGGGCACTACCTTCTTATGCATCTCAATTTTCGCAATCTCAAAGCGTTACAACAAAATGGTATGGTTACCGAGTTGTCACACATTAATATTCTAGCCGAGTTATGTGAAGAATGTGTGAAAGAAAAAACACAAGGGGAGTTTTACCAAGGATGCGGGTCATAGGACCAAGGCTCACCTTGAGGTGGTGTATTCCGATGCATGCGGGCCAATGCAAGTTGACGCGTTGGGTGGCAATAGGTACTTTGTCACATTTATCGAAGATTTTAGTAGAAAGCTAAGGACTTAACTTATCAAGAGGAAAGATGAGGTTTTTGATGTGTTCAAGAAGTTTAAGTCCATGGTGGAAAGGCAATGCGGTCAAAAACTCAAAGTGCTCAAAACGGACGATGGAGGTGAATATGTCTCGAATGACTTTGGGAAGTTTTGTGACCAAGAGGGGATAGTGCATGAGGTTGTACCAACCTATACACCACAACAAAATGGTGTTACCGAGAGAAAGAATTGATCGATGATGAACATGTTTCGTAGCATGTTAAGTGGAAAGGAACTTGTCGAAAGAGCTATAGGGAGAAGCGGTCTCTACAACCACCTATTTGTTGAATAGGTGCCCTACTAAGAAGCATGATAAGCTGACACCTGAAGATGTATGGTCCAGATTCAAACCGAATCTAAGCCACTTGAGAGTTTTTGGTTTGGTGGCGTATCGACATGTGCCGAATCAACTTAGAAAGAAGTTGGACGACAAGGGTGAAGAAATGATATTGGTTGGATATCATTCTATTGGAGGATACACGTTGTTTGATGCATAAAATCAAAGAATTGTAATCAGCCACAACGTGATTTTTGACGAAATTAGAGCTGCAAAACCAAGTGTAACCGGTTACACCCATCCAATTCATTCTAGTGTAACCGGTTACCAGCAGGAAAAATAAAGTTCCAGTTTTGTATGTCCAAATGTAACAGGTTACACCCAGCCAATTCATTTTGGTGTAACCAGTTATCAGCAGAATAGACAATCTAGATTTGTTTTTTCTGATCCTGAAAGTTTTGGAACAACCATGCAACCACTGATTGAGGTCCGAAATGAAGAGAATGTTATACAATCAACAAGACAAAGGGTGTTACCTCAAATACTCCCAGAATGTAAAAGATTCTGAGACAACGAAATCAATGATGTTGGTGATTTCGTCCACTTTGCGCTTATGTCTGAATCTGAACTGGTGAACATGGAAGAGACTCTAAGCGATTCAAAATGGATTTGTGCAATGAAGGAGAAGCTAAAGTCTAATGAAAAAATGGTACTTGGGAGTTGGTTGATTTACCGTTTGGAAAGAAGTCAATTGGTGTTCGATGGGTCTATAAAGTGAAGGCAAATCCCAAAGGCGAGGTGATCAAGCATAAGACTCGACTGGTAGCAAATAGATTTTTGCAACATGAAGGTATAAACTTTGAGGAGGTTTTTTCACCTGTGACTAGGCTAGAAACCATCCGATTAGTTGTTGGCATTGCAAATAACAACGATTGGACGATATATCAAATGGACGTCAAATCTGCGTTTTTGAACGGTCCACTTGATGAAGAAGTTTATGTTGAGCAGCCACCCGGATTTGTAGTAAAGAATCAAGAGATGAAGTTCTACAAATTGAATAAAGCATTATATGGTTTGAAACAAGCTCTAAGAGCTTGAAACAAACACATTAACGACTTTTTAATTAATATTGGTTTCAAGCGGTGCTTGTCCGAACATAGAGTGTATGTGAAAACGGATGCGAATGATGGCACGATCATTCTTTGCTCGTATGTTGATGATTTATTGATTTCCGACAGCTATAAGAAGAGTATCTCTAAGTTCAAGAGTGAACTTATGGATTAATTTGAGATGACGGACCTTGGTATTATGACATATTTCCTTGGCACAAAGTCAAAAGCGGGACTGCTCATGCATCAAAGGAGATATGCTCTTGAGATCTTGAAGAGACGTGAAATGGAGCATTATAATGCGATCATTACACCATGTGTAGCAAGGTTTCAGCTGTCCAAGAGTAAGGATGAGCAAGATATGGATCCAACGCAATATAGGAGATTGATTGGACCATTGCGATATTTGTGCAATAAGCGACCGGGCTTGGCATTTAGTGTCGGTACTGCTAGTAGATTCATGGAGATGCCGAAGGTGTCTCGCTTGACAGTGGTTAAGAGGATCCTTAGATATGTTAAAGGAACTCTTGGTAGCAGAATTCTCTTTCCCGCATCAGATATGAGTTAAAATTGTGATTTACTTGGTTTCAACGATTCCAATTGGTGTGGTGATAAGGATGATAGAAAGTCAACGGCTGGATACATTTTTTATGTTTGGTAGGACACCAATGTCTTGGTATTCAAAAAAGGAACCATGGTAGCACTCTCGTCTTGTGAGGCTGAGTATATTGCGACATCGTTATGTGTGTGTCAGACTATGTGGCTCATGAATCTATTGAAGGAGTTGGGTAGCAATGAGAGTGAGGCTACTATACTTCTTGTTGATAATGTTTCCGCAATAAATCTTGCGAAGAATCTGATTGCACATGGAAGAAGCAAGCACATAGAGATGCGATTTCATTATTTGAGGGAGTTAGTGAGTGAAGGCAAGCTAAGATTGCGATATTGTTGGAGTGAAGATCAAGTGGTGAATTTTTTACTAAGGGAGTAACAAATAAGGTGTTCAAGAGATTGAAGGTGAGCTTGAACATGTTAGACTTGAAACAATTGAAATGAGGTGGTGTGTTGAAAACAGTTTTTTTTTGTTGTTGATATTTTAGTTGTGATAACTGGTTACAGGATATGTGGTAATCGATTACATGGTGAGACAGAAGCGTAGGTTGGTTTCTGGAATGGAATGTAACTAATTACCGGTTATATTTTCTTAAAAGGTCTTCCTATCGGATATTCCAATGACAATTTTTAAGAATTTTAAATAAAAAAAAAATTATATAAAAAAAATTAACTATTTTCCAATGAATTAAATATGTATCTCTAAAAAACAACTTAATATTTTAAATTTTAAAAAGTGTTTTTGAAGCATTAATTAGCATTTCTCTTTCTTGAAATTGTTTTAGATGACTTCTAAAGCATCTACCAAAAAAGTCGGTGAAGGCTGAAGATAGTCAAAATTCTTAAAAATGGTTTAGAATTTTTGGAATGAATTTTATTCCTCTAAAGTGAATAGTTATGGTCCGTAAAAGTTATTTCTAATAGTCAATGACAAAATTGTTAGATAGAACATTTTTTATATATTTGAAACTAAAATCTCCCATTTATATGAATTTTTAAGTGGTATTAGTGGGATTCAGCAATCTCCCACTTATTTGAATTTTAAGTGGTATTTGTGTGATTCAGATTTGCTGCAGTAAAATAATCCACACGCATTGTGGGATTCAGATTTGCTACAGTAAAATAATCCACACGCATTTAAGTATATTTGACCGTTTGATCAAGATCAGATGATTCAAATTTATAGATCATTTTAGAAAAATTAAAGCTGTTTCTTACAAGCCATGAGATCAAGATCAAACGGTTAATATTATCTTGACAACGTGAATGCATGAAATCCCCTGACAGTAGAGATTCAAGTTCGTATTTGTCACCGGTCTACAAACCCGAAAAATAATGAATAGGATCAGGGAGGGTTTATTCATACTCTAAATGGGATATGAAAATGTTGTAGTTTTGTGGAAATATATTACTCTTCATATGAAGTGACAGAAAATTCAAATCCTATTCTCAAACTCTGAAACGGTCCATCTGTATAGTTCTGCAACTGTACCAAAAACATAACTATATATTGACATTGAAAACAAACACATAAACTTTGCTTCATGTGAAATGGATCAAGAAAACAAGTGAATGCTAATAAAATAACTAGATTTAGTTCATTATCCTACCTCATTCTGAATCTTGATTTCAACAAAACCATATCCATATATGTAAGAGCTAAACTATTAGTTTAGCTTCCCACTTCCACCACATGTTAAACATGATCTGCTAGAAGAGCATTTTGTACAGTAGCTCCACTTCTTCGGAAGCCTGGTGCATGTAATCGTCGAGTTTAATGGTAAACTCGAAATTGTAAAATTTAGACAAAATCAGAGATGAGAAAATTGTACCCGTCTGTGAATCGAGTAGCCATGTTTTTAGATAGATCTCTTGCCCTCTGAGCACTTGCATCGGAACGTTTCCGAAGCACAAATCCTTCACCTTTGCAGGCTGAACATACGCCAGAACCTCCACAATCTTCGCATTCTTTGAGTTCAATCTTTAACTGTTTCATATGAAAAGTTTGACACACAATTCAATTGAACTGAAGATGAGAAATTTCTAGTTATCAAGGAGCTATTCTCTCTATCTTCATCATATATTATTACATGCTGTTAATAAAATAAAATAAAATTGTTTATCCGAGTTGCATCACATGGAACCGGCTAGTTTTCTCGGACTTGTGCTGCGCGCAGATCCAATTCGCTACTTCTAGCCTAGTTTTGGAATAATTGACACGAATGAATGATCTATTTAGATACTATTAAGTACTGACACAAACTTAGACATCATCGGCCTCAGCACTGACAACAATACATTGACAATATTTTAATAAACGAGGATGAATATAAACTACACTTGGTTCTGTCGTGTCGTGTTGGACATTGTAAACGTCTTCAAGTTGAAGTGTTTGTGCTAATAATAATTATTTTATTGCTACTAGCAACAAAAATGGATTACTTACTTGTGTGGACTCAGAAGTTTTGGATCTCTGTACAAGAAGAGTGGCTGCTGCACCAACAAAAGTTGCAGCTACAGCCACTGAAACCGCTGTCTCAGGCAGTGAAGAGGAGATTGTGAATGATCTCCTTTGTAATTGTGACTTCCCATCTTTCACATCTGATCAAGATATAAAATCAGAGCAGAAAATACAGATTTATTTTTCATTTTACAACATCAACGGAAAGGTAGCCATAAGTTTTTATGTGATCTTTTGCTAAGGGTCAGTATAAGATAACTTCAAGATGCCTTACAAATGATTTAACTATACCAATGAGCTAAAAAAAATAAGTGATTGAAACAAAAGTGTGAAGTCATAGCATTTTTGAACTAATTTTAACTCCAAGTGGTAGTTTATATCATAAATCATCGGTCTTAAATTTTTGGAGGCTTTTTGTAGGTTAGTCACAGTTTAACCATGACAAAATAATTAGAAATTCTATTTAACCCTGTTTTAACAATGACAAAGATTTTATGATGTCCTATTTAGGTAGGATTTAATCGTGACAAATTTTGAGTCTGTGGGATAGCCCGCCTTGTACACCCTCAAAAACGGTGGTAAATGATGAACTATTGAACAACATATTCTTATAAGCTTTTGGGCAGAGTAACATGACAGTAAGGAATGGATTCAGATTATTTCAGAAGACAGGAAGCAACATCCACCATTGTATTAAAATAAAAAATCAAGTAGTTGTTAAGATAATGAATCTAAGGCTATGTTAGGATAACATAAAATGAATGGAGCGGAATGGAGTGGAGTGGAATATAGCGGAATGGAACAGAGTGGAATATAGCGGAATGGAGCATAGCAGAATGAAAATTCCATTTCAACGTTCAGAAATTTTATGACATATCAAGGCAAATTCTTCGTTCCACCCAAATCAGAGTGGAAGAAATATGACGGTAAGTGATGAAATAGAATGAAATCTATACCACTCCACTCTGCTCTGCTCTATCTGATTTTTAATGATTCAAACACTAGAATACCACTTTATTTCATCCCATACCGTTGATTCCGTCAATCCAAACAAGAGATAAAGAGTTTACTTAACATTTGACAACATTCAGATCAATCCAATTATACCAAAACTAAATAAAACTTGTCTAAATTTGACAAAATCTACACTTTAGAATCTCAACAAAATCACCATATCAATATGATTCCATCAAATCCATTGACAATCCAAACATGCACTCAAAACAAACTTCATAACAATTGAGAAAAACTGCATCATAAATGACCCACAGAACAAGAGTGATAAGATAATAATGACTTAATTTTCGAGCAGCATTAATTGGTGAGGAAGAAGTTAAAATCTCACTCTGAGAGAAGCGGTGAAGTGATATAGGGCGCTGCACAACTACAACCATTTAGATAATTTTCTTGCTCTGTTTCTGTCCACCAACCGGTACCGTTTTAGCTTTCTTATCTTTTAAAATTGTTCTCAAGTTCTTGTTGTTGATAGCTAAGTATAGAAATATTGGTGAAATGAAAAGAAAAGGGAGGGAGTAATGACAAAAATGTGGGGGTTATAATTAGTTTTTCTATTAGAAACAATAACTTTAAAATGGTTATTAGATAATTTTTATACGAAATAATACAAAATAAATCTTATTTTGAAATATATTTTATAAAAATTGATTAAATGTGAAAAATTAATTTATTTTATTTGTTAAAAGGGAGTGCATATAGTATCAACATGAATTAATTGTAGTAGAGTTATAGTTCATTAATGTCATTCAATTTTGATATAAACATTAAATAAGATTTTATTTGGTATAAAAAGAGGGCCTAAGCTTGGAAGACAATAAAAGTTAAACTTTTAAATAGACCATTTTAGGTATACAAAATTATAAAATTATAAGAAAAAATAAATGACAGAGATTATTAAAAAAAAATCCACAAGACAAAACAACGAAAAAAATTCATAGAAAAGACTATGGTTTGCAAGCCAAATTGCAAATTTGTTTCCCTCTTGCCAATTATGTTGAACTAAGATATGCTAATCTAACGCTAAAAGGTTGCACATACGCCTCGCAAATAAGGAACCCTCATAACAAGGTATTAGTTAGCTAGAATCATGTCTTTTGGAATTTTAGAATCACTCTATACAAAGAGACCTGAAATACAACCTTTTTAAGCCTGTTGTGATATATTTGTGAGAGCATTCAAATAGGATGACATATTCTCTTTGTTATGCACCCGCCTCATGAGACATTGCACTTATCCATTATGTAGCGTGGAGGCTCTCCCTAAGGATAAATGTGAATAATATTGTTTATCAGTCCCTAACCGCATGTATGAAGGCGTGTCATAACTTCCTAGAAAATAGGCGGTTAACAACTTTCACTAGTCAAGAGAGAGCAGTTACCCATTCTTAAGGGTTTTCTAAATTTTAGGCCTCTAAACCTCTATAAATATCTCAACCTTCGGTTCGAGGGAGACAAATCATAACACATTTAGAATATTGCATAAACACAGAGTTTTTCACCTCATGTGAGTTGACTCTATCTATAATCAGAAACACCACCAAATTTGAGTACTTGCCGTCGCGAGAAACCCCTGAACCAACAGACTAATATTTAGGATTCTGGTCATCCCTACCAACATAGGTATATCACGCAATATGTTTTTTTTGACAAGTATTGTGGTGTCCACAGTTGCCCCCAATAAAACTAACTTAAATGACACCTTTCTTTACCATCACAATTTCAATATTTGCTGAAACCTCCACTCCTAGACCTAGTTGTTTCCAAACATGGTTGTTAGGATAGTGCAATCTCCCACGTCAGAGGGCACTGAAGGTAACAGTAATTTCAATGCTTTGGTAGAGATGTATGATGTCATGGAATAAATTTGTTGCCAAAATCAAAGCTTGGAAGATAATGTCGTCAACATTCAACCATACAAACAGGAGGCTAACCCTCTAGAAGAGGTGGAAGTATTGGACCCTCAGCCACTTTCAGATTAAATATGGAAAATACTTGTTCCTGAAGGTTTCGAACCTACCTCTTGGGCATAATGATCCTTATGAAAAAATCACCTTCATCAACACAAAGATGTTAATCATCAGAGTGTCTTATTTCCTGAAATGCAAGCTTTTGTATGGCACTTTCAGAGACGCGATCTTATGGTGGTATATGGTCCTACCTCGAGCTTCTATCACCAGTTATCAGGAGCCGGTGAAGAAACTCGTGCACCAGTTTATAGCCAATTAACATAGAAGGATGTGCACCACCAGGCTTGTTTAACATATGCCATAGTCCCTCAGAGTTATTAAGGGAATACCCCGCCCGCTTCAATAAAGTCATCATAAGGGTCGTCCACCCAAACAACGAAATGTTTGTAGGGGCGTTTGAGAATGATCTCAAAGCGTAACACTTCAATGAGTCTCTCGCCCAAAGGTCATCATCTTCGTTAATAGAGGTGGTCACAAAGGCTGAATTCTACATAAAGAGAACACTGAGAAAATGTGTGATGTGTGAAAGAGCGTGCGTCTAGCGCAGAAGGTTCACATCACCCATGGAAGAGCACCTATACCTCGTCCATCAAGGACAAATTCACATTCAAGCGAGTAGGTAAGATGGTGGAGAGCTTCACACCCTTGAACACTCTTCGTGAATGGATCTCTCGAGAAGTTATCCACTTGTATGACATCCTTGTGCCTCCTACCCTAAAAGTAGAAGTTATGGGACCTAATCCAGGAAGATTGTGTAAGTTGCATTGAGTCAAAGAGAACCATACAAAAGTCTGTTACTAGCTCAAGAAGAAGATCAAGAACCTGATTGAGGAGGGTGACCTCAAGAAGTATGTCGAGAGCGACCACTCCCAAGGGTCGGGCGAGTCAGACTCTCGAGGGCGGGATGACGCAGAAATCCCTAAATCTTGAAAAGGGAAGGATCCATATAAAGAAGAGGACAAACAATCATACGCCATATCAAGAGGATTTGTTGGGGGCGACGAGACCAGCTCTGGCCACAAATAGTATGCCTGCTAGGTATTGAATAAAGAGGATCTCCCTAAGGGGTTTCCAAGGAAGGCGAGACTAAGACATCAAAAACTGAGATCCTCTCTTTTAAAAAAGATACAGTAGATATCCACCATCACAATGACGATCTCATGGTCATCACAATTAGGTGTGATAACTGGGAGATCAAGAGAGTTCTTGTGGATCAAGGGAGATCCGCTGATATCCTGTACTGGGAGAAAATTGAGAGGACGTGCATCAACTCAGAAGATATAAAAGCTTTCAAGGGATCACTCGTTGGATTGTCTGGGGAGAAAGTTCAAGTGAAAGGCTACATCACGTTGAATTCCACCTTTATGGTGGGAGAAAAAACAAATGAGATCAAGTTCAACTACCTAGTAATAGACTCACCATATTCTTATAACATGATTATAGGGCGTCCAACTTTTAATCAAATGGGCGCCTTCCTGTCTGTCTACTTTGTATTTATGCATGAAATACTCGCTCTCCAGTCGACGGGTCGGATTCACCCAAGGAGACCAAGAAATTTTATGTAGAAAGTCTTAAGTTGAAAAGGATTCAAATGCTGGACATGGATACCATGAAAACTAGTCCGAAAATCAAGAAGCTAGAAGAATCTCGACGAGATGAACAGTGTAACACCCCCAAAATAATTAAAATATTATTATTATTGTATTTCTTAAATTTTTATTTCAGTTTTATTTTATTTTTGTAATTCTTTATTATTATTATTATTATTATTTAAAAAATAAAAATATATAACTGGTTAATGGAAAATAAAGTAAAAATGAGTTGATAAGACAAAAATGCTAGTGGAAGTGTGAATAGAAATAAACATTATTATTATTATTATTATTATTATTATTATTATTATTATTATTATTATTATTATTATTATTATTATTATTATTATTATTATTATTATTATTATTATTATTATTATTATTAAATTAGAATTAAAAGAAACTAAAAATCATATTTTTAGGAAAAAGATTAAAAAAAAGGAACTAGAAAGAGAAAGGACGAGGAGAAAAACATGTATCATATGAGAAAAAGACAGAAAACCCTAATCACCCTCTTATTCTCAAGAAAACCTTCTTCTCCAATAATCTAAGAGATAAAACTCAAATTCACCAAAAGAGTCGCGGTAGAGATTGTACAAGGAAATTTGTCACAATCGTTGAAAGTTTTGCAGAGAAAATAACAAGGTAAATGGGATAGGTTTTTCTATAACGAGTATTTTAGTGTTTCAGGTAGTGGGGTTTTCCTTAAACTCCGGCTTCGGCCGAACTCCTTGTGAAAATTCCCATAAGATATGATTTGTTTTAAACCATAGATTGAGGTTTGCAAGGAATTTTCTTAAATAATGCAAAATGAGTTCGACATGTTCATGATGGGAGAGCTAAAATATTTTCTAGGACTTCAAATCCATCAAACAAAATAAGGAACATTCATAAATCAAGATAAATAGTGCAAAGAGCTACTAAAAATATTTATATGTAAAAGTATAAAATATTATAAACACCAATGTCAACATCATGCTCCTTAGACAAAGACGAAGACGGAAAACTAGTTGATGAACAAAAATATCGAGGTATGATCGGATCTTTTCATTATCTGACTGTATCTCTTCCACACATTATGTTTGTTGTGTGTATGTCTGCATGCTTTTAAGAATCCCCAAAAGAATCACATCTCAACGTCGCCAGGCGCATTATGAGATATCTCACCGGCACACAACAAATGGGTCTATGGTACCCCAAAGGAGCGGATTGTAACTTAGTGGGCTACTTCGACTTTGATTTTGCTGGGTGCAGATTGGATAGGTAAAACCCCAATGGTACATGTAATTTACTCGAAAACTCACTTGTCTCTTGGTGTCGCGGCGCAAAAAATATATGAGCGCGTCGCACGCTCGATGATATAACAGAGTTGCCACCGAAATTTATTTATAATAGAGGAAAGGGAAAATATCAATAAAATCCAAGGGAAAAAGAAACGATAAAGGGAGTTGGTTATGCGAGGGGAATGTATTAGCATCCTTCACATTCGTTGTACTAAACGGGAACCATTTTGCTTACTCTTTGCATGGATGAGTGTTATTATCTAAAGGTTACTTGCGGAAGGGGAAAATAAGTTTTAAATAAGTATGCTCGCCAAGGATTCAAACTCTCGTGTCTACGTATTCCTATAGTGCAATGAGAAAATCAGAGCTCCGTAGTTCATGGTAGAAAATAATGATTTGTTGGTTGTTTTTAAAGAACAATTAAAATCGTATCCTAGAAGTGTGTAGATGTTAGAGAAAAAATAAGTTTTAAAGTAGTGTGCTCGCTAAGGATTCAAACCCTTGTGCCTACGTCTTCCTATAGTGTAATGAGAAAA